GGACTATGTGGCTGCTGAGAGCCATACTTTCGTGTTCCAGATAGCTGCGTGGTCGTTTGAAGTGGCTGGTAGTGAGGAGTTGTTCCTTTGCCTTTCACAGGAAGTTTTGCATGGAGTAACGGGATTCGAGGCGCGAATGTTCTGCGTATAAGGCTAGATGGAGGCATCCTTTCCCGTGCGGGAAATCGTTTGTTAGTTGAAGTGGGATCCAAACCAGGGATTCAATTTTCCACTCCATTATAGGTGAATGTTGGGACCCTTGAGACGATTATTCGAGAGCAAATAATAAAGTGTTACTGGTATTTGGTGACGAATTGTGGATAAGCATGACTAGATATATTCGATATACATGCAAGACGGTGTTGTCTAGAGCCAACTGAGATACGACAAATAAACCACGGTGATACGTGAAACATGGTGCAGGCAAGCTTCGTAACATTTTCAATACCTCAATCGAACTTGAAATTACTTATGTTACATATCACCAGGCCCCTTTCCTAGGTTTCTAGAAGTTGCATTCATTGACAGAAAGGAAAGGGCTTCACCAAATGCGTTTCACCATCGTGAATCTTGTCAAATCATTCAATGTAGGCCTCTTCTTCTCTTTGTTTTGAGAGTTACGTTCCCCAATATCAGGGGCTCGGGAGGCGTCGTCCCTCTTCTGAACGAGCATTGCTTTAAGATCACGATTGTAACGCTAGGAGTGGGTGAGAAATATGGATGAAGAGGGATATATGATAAGTACCTTTTCTTCCTTACTCTCGCCTATTGGATCTCGTCCAAAGTCATTGACCTTATCTGCTTCCTCGCGCTGTTCCATGTCAATTCTTCTTTGGGTAGCATATGTGATAAGGTTGATGCCTATGATGATCTTGATGACAACAAGGCTAGAGACATAACGTTACTCAGTGATAATAGAAGTAAGAGGCACTCACCATGCCCAGGCTAGTGTCAACAAGACGCCATATTTAACGTATCTTTGAGCATAATAACGCAATTGAGTTGAATCTGAAGCGATGCTGGCGTTGAAAGCTTGTGCAGCAAGGATGAATGTCATGCAGGCAAGAGGTAACGAAGCGAATCCTAAACGGCGGGCCACAAGCGGTGATTGGTCTACATAGGTGTGTTTTCGTGCACCATGTCTACCGATGGCACTCCCACTAGCCAGGTCCAGACAAAGGACATCCGTATATCGTTCATAGACACTAGGGCGAATATGATTAAATTTGGTAATAAAAGCATGCTTAAGCCAATCTACGGCAACCTCGGACAGCATAACCGTAGCAACTGGCTATAGATGTCTCAGTCAGATGAAGCGCAGAGAAACTGATGCCCGACAGCTTACCGACAAGATAGTCCATGCTAAGCCGTGACCAGGTATCCATTTGAAGCTATTTGGAACACCAGCTGAAAAATCAAACTCGGTCCCGCTTAACTCGATGAGATTCCGGAAAGCAACAAAGGACATCATGAGTAGCAGTTGGAAGCGCTCTACTATATCTGTAAATCGGCGTTAGACCAGAAATCAAGGCCAATGGTGCACGCACCAGCACATGTTATCTGGAATAGGTTATCTTTTTCAAACTTCTTAAAGACACTCCCTTTTATTTCAACGAATTGGTTAGAAACCAATAACGTGATGAGTGATTGGTCATAGGAGTTGATGGCCACATTGAGTGATAATAATTGATAAATAAGGACGAGAGAATGAGATACTGATAGCTGTCAGTTTAGCATAAGGATTCATGTTGAACTGCCCCTTACCTGTGTAAAAAACCGCGAGGGCGAAGTACAGTAATGGAAGAAAGGTCCGACCCGAAATTGGATGATTCCGAGAGAGTGGGGCGAGAGTAGATCTTGAGAATAGACAATCGATTATATCTTGACCAATAGATGTACATAAACGGTCGGCAATCTAAACAGGTGAGCTATTTGGCGGACAGGCCATGGATGAACAGACCTCGACTGCATTGAATATGACATAGAGCTTGACAGTTTCCTGGAGGCGAATTGTGTGGTATATTTTACTGGCATCCGTCAATGGCGCGAGAATCGTCAGAGATGTAATGAGGAGTAAGGCTCGAATGATATCGGCCTTCTGTGATGGTGGCAATGAATTTCTGTTCTTTTTAGTTAGTTAGTCATTTGACTAGATGAATGGTTGACGAACTTCAGAGTGATCCAGTTGACAAATAGACGATAGGCTGCCAAAACAGCTCGTATTGGTAGTATTGTGAACGTATAGAGGAAAGAGTCAAAACATAGGATGATACCAAATCCGATGATCTAACAAAGCTGAATTAGACCCCGGACAGCAAGTCAGAATGTGACAACATACTTTCTCAATGGCTACAGGAATACTCAAAAAGTTACTGACTCTCTCCCATTTCATTTCTTGATGCGAGTCAAAATCTGTGGCGA